AACATCAGCATATACCAAGTTTACGCACCCACAGCACATAAACCAGACCAAGAAACGGAAGATTTCTACAAACAAGTTGACCAAGCTCTCATAAATTTAAAATTGACACAAAGCCCAATGAAATAAACTTTATATAATTTATTAGCAAGGTTGAAAGAGGAATAATAGAACCTTCAGTAGACTACAGTCTGGAAAGAAATGATAGAAGGCAGAGATTCAATCTTGTGAAAAGAAATATCTCATAATAGCGAGCACGTGGTATAAAGTACCACCTAGACGGCTTTATACATCAATATCCCCACAACACAATGATCAGCATATCGTCCGTAACAACTTGGGATATTGACTTTTTATAAGCATCATAGTATATTATTTCTGAAATAGTTTGACCGTTATCCAGTGGCAGATTTTGTTGGGGTCCGCCGAGGCACATGTATTCAGTTTTAGATATGTTGACCTCTACATAGTCCCTATTTGCTATATTCTCCAACTAGCTTTTTGGTCATACATTCAAGATTGTCAATGTCTTGCGCCATTACCACTTGATCGTCTGCGAAGATAAGGGTATAGATGGTGTTGTCGTTAAGCGGGATACCCATATTGCTACATTTACGTTTCCATTGTAGCAACGCTTTTTCTAAAAATATTTTGAAAAGTATAGGAGATAAACAACAACCTTGTTTTAAACCTTTGTTTGTGAAGAAACCGTTGGAGAGTATGTGTTTCCAACTTTTATTTTTAAATGAGAGTTTTTGTAAATTTCCTTAATGGCTTTAATTATCGTTATATTGATGTTTGTTGTCTCCAGGGCTTCCTAGAGTTTAACCAGTGGAACGCTGTCATAAGCCTTTTTCAGGTCTATGAATAATAGGTGGACTTCTTTATGAAGAGCTGACATTTTCTCTAGTATTACACAGAAAAGGTGATCAACTGTTGATCTTCCTACCCGGAATCCAGCTTGTTCTTCGGCTTCATTGACGGCGAATTCTTGTTCTATTCTGATTTTAAGTACTTTACCGTATGCCCCTGTAATTGCCACATTCATCTTTACTACCCTTTTTATGTATTGGGATAAGATAGGACTTTTTCCATTTTTCTGGAATCTACCGGTATTAATGCATTTTTTAAATAACTTTGCTAGGGGTTAGTATAGTGCTTGTGTTCCAAACTTTAATAATTCAGCTGGTATGTTACCCGGTACCCGGTCCGGGAGGCATGCATGGAGGTAAGTAACACCCATTTGACTCACGTTCGCAAATTTGAATGTAACACCCGATATCGCAACGGAAACGGAGAGTTTCTTTATCGGGTGTTACTTACCCTGGACAGTTTTTTTTTTTTTTTGTAATATCGTTATATCACCTTTTCATATCCAAAACTAGGTAACGTTTGAAGAAGTCCGCCATTCTAAATTTTTCTCAAATTTTGAAAGTTTCACTTTGATTCGTTAGCCTGTTCAATTCTCTTCCAAACAAGCCAAAACAATAGGAAATTGGTCAACAACAAAAATTACAGATCAAAAACAAAATTCCGTTTTTTTTTGAGCCCACCCTATACATATAGGTATTATTAAATTCCTTGTTATTTTACAAAGAAAACAAATAAAAATAGGTAATGTACAGTGTGTTATTTGAAAATGTGAAAAGTGGCTTTCTTTTTGGATTGTTCGATGTTCTACAACTATACAAATAGTGGAAAAGATGTTCTCCTAAATTAAAATTATGGCGTTTCCCATTGGTAGATTTAGTGCGCACTGAGTGTATTTGCATCCTTTTGATCAACTTGTAACTTGTAGAAGAAAAAGACAGAAATAGAAAATATTGCACTAGTTCCGCACTAGATCTAGCAATCGGAAACGCGATTAGTGTCTGAGGTTTTTGAGAAATGTTCACTTGTTTTTATATGCTAAATTACGAACGCACAGTATAATTTATATTAATATAACAATATTAATTATATTTTGCACTTAAGTATATAGGTACTCATGTTTTAATATTTCAATGCCCTAAAATAATTATTTACAAGATGGAAATAGTAAATAGGCTTACTAACGAGGGTAAGTAACACCCAATAAAGCGCACATCCATGCAACCACGGGTGTTACATTTAAAAAACCGAACCGTTGTTGAACGGATTGCCGAACGCTTAACAGGGTGTTACTTACCTCCATGCGTCCGGGAGCCTTTCTGTTTTTTAAGCCTTTGCATGCTTCTTTGACTTCTTTTATGGATATTCTGATGAGTGAGGTTGAAACAGATATGTTATTTCCGTTCCGTTCGGGTTCCTCAAATTATTGCCTCGATCTTCTAGCAATAGTTCACTGAAGTATTTTTCCCATTTTTGTAATGAAATAGGCGATATTATATCTGTTTTTTTCTCTTGACGTAGTGACTAATATTTTCCAGCTTTCTGCATGTGCTTTTTCTTCCTCCAATTGCTCCAAGGTATGTTTGGATTGTTGTACATCTTCTTTCCCAAGATTCATTCTTTTTTTGTGTGATCTTTCTCCTGACTTTTGCTTGGGCTTCTTTAAATAAAATATTGTCTTCTTGTTTCTTTGTTGTTAAGAATCTTTGATTAATTTCTCTTTTTTCTTTAATGTCTCTTTCAATGTCCTCGTCCCACCAATAAGGTTTTCGCTTGCGTTTTTCTTTCATAAACACCCAAAGCTTCATTTGCAGCATCTTTTAAGCATTTTTTAATAGGTATGGTTATAATGGTCGTTGTTGTTTTCGAAAGGTGCTTCTCTTAGTTTTTTATCGAGTCTTTTTGCGTGAAGATCTCTGGTGCTTTCGTGTTCTCGGCTGTCTAGGTTGTAGCGTGTTGGTTCTATTTTATCGCACTGTTCCGGCTGGTCGATGTGTTTTGTTTTAGTTCGTATGGGCAATCCTATTTTTGCATTTAGTAGGTAATGGTCACTGCCACATGTTGCGCTTCTATAAACTCTGACATCATATGTTTTTAGGGCGGTTTTTTGATTCAAAATTACATAATCTATTATAGATTTAAGATTCCTTGTGTTTTGAGTCCACGTAAATTTGTGTATCATACGGTGTGGGTAGAATCCGTTCATTATCCTAAGGTCGTTTTGTTTGCATACGTTTATTATTTTGTGTCTGTTGTCGTTTATAGCATTTTCTCCAAATCGACCTGCAACACTGTCTTTGAGTTTAAAACCAGTTCTTCCGTTCAAGTCTCCTAAATTATTTCTCGTGATTTCCCAATTTGGGTTATTTCTTGATGTAGATTTTCGAAGAAGTCGTGTCCTTTTCATTTACTCTAGTGTCGTCGTTTACCGCATATACTCCAATTATGTTATTTTCACTTTTCACTCCGTGTAATGTCAGGTTCATTTTGATTAATGTTTCGCTTATTAGTTGCCATGATGTTATGCACTTTTGCCAAACCTAAAACTTTCCCAACTTTACCATAACAATAACTTTTTTTCTAAATACTTAAATATTAGCTGTGCTTAAATATAGTGTCAAATTACTTTAAAGTGTACTTAAACGGTTACTCTATACCAAAATGAGCTATAAAAATGCCTAGAAAACAGTTAAAGGCTTTTAGTATTTATTGCCTCATCATGTCGACTACCACATTTTTTTGGATTGCAGTGTCTGCCTACTCTTAATCAAAAAACAGCATCATCAAGCAATTTTTTAGCATGCAAGTTTAGTCTTCGGATCTCAAATATTTACATTAATTTAATAATAAAATAAATGTTTGCCCTTGGGGGCGCCAAGAAACAGGCCGCATATAGTCAGTTGGTGAGCAGATGTCGGGTTGCATCTAATCTTTTTACCTTGGCACGTGCCAGCAGCTGTTAATTTTGTGTGCGGGGAACCCTATTAAGTTATTTGAGAATAATTATTTCTAATGATTCAAAGTTTATAAATCAATCAATGAAATTATTGTTTCTATCACACATGATTCATCCAGGCAGTATTATTGTAATTCAAGCAAGTTTATTTTACTAGATGTCCGTTGGCTTTACAATAGACCGGCACTTCCATTTAAGGGGGTATACGCCGCCCTACGCGGGAAAAATTGAAATAATGCACTATACACGTTTACGCATTACCTTTTGTGAAGAATAGCCGCACCGTCAAGTTTTCGGATCGTGCCAACCAGTGGCGTATATACTTTCTACTATATATATTATATCAATTAGTATTTTTAGAAAAATGATTTCAAAGGAAAAATTATGTCCAATATCAAATTTATTTATTGTTGTTACGTCTTTGTAGAAGCAACTTTGTATTTGAGATATCACTCATTTTACTTTTTCATTAAACTGTCTTTGATGGTCGCTGTGGAGAGGAGTGCATTTACAAGGCAAGGCAACTCATTCTGGTCCGCCAATATTTCAAAAATCTTGTTAATTTCTATGATTTGAAAGGGTAACAGAAGCACTAGGAATAAGGAAGTACATATAACATATAACATTTACATAAATAAGTTTAGAAATACTAGGCAATCTTACGGTACTTAACTGGGAACTCGCATACCTACGTCCTACGTCGAAACAAAACTATAGACACAGCTATAGAGAAATGAAGGTCCAAATATCATTTAATAGAGATATAATATGCTATAGACCTCCTAAACCACTAAAATGAACAAATATAAGTATAGGTATTTGGAAAATCTCCATCATGTCAATTATCTACCTATTTTATTATAGATTTTTTAAAAGTATAATAGGTTCATATTTATTTATTTATTTTAGATAAACTAACTATAAAACATCTTAGAGCCTAATATTTAGATTGTTATTTGGTTTGAAAAGTTAATTGGTTCCTACGCCCATGGTATCTATCTACCCCAAATAAAAACACACACATGGATATGTGACGCGGGGCATATGCAGCTGTAAAGGGCCCCCCTTAAGACCGTTACGCTGTCTTGTTTCATATCGGCCACCAGTCAGGCCCGACCTACGCTCTAGTGACACAAACGACCGTTGATATTACGTACCGGCGTCTTTTTTTTTTCAACTAGGTACCTATCCTATCTCTGTGTGACCTTTAAAATATTTTAATGATAAGAATAAAGTAGTTCTTTGTATTCGGAGTTGTGTAAATTTAGGTGACGTGTTCGAACCAAAAGGGTTTTTTTGCGGAATCTTGGAAACTTTGAGTCTAGTGTATGGATTATATTTCTTCAAAATTACGGATTTTTTTTGCATAAAGGTGAGAATAAAAATAAGTATATTAGTACTAGTAATTCACAATTTTCCTTATAAAAAAAACTCACTAATAATTGTAAAAAAAATCATTGTTCTACGTACAAAGGTATATTATGTCAGCGAAGCGAGACACCCATGCGCCCATGCAGCGTGAAAGGAAAACAAAAAGTTGAGAAGTACCTACCTAAATCCACTTTTTAATGAGCTTTGAGGCGTGACATGAGTCCTTAAATACCTACATTATCATTTAAACTAAATATTTTTTGGACGTCTGTTATGTACTTAGGTACATAACTATTTTCCTCCTTTTTTCCGTCAGTACAAGAACCTACCTATTAAAGGTATAGAAATCACATTTTTCTTCTATAAAACAGTACAATACATACCTTCTATTCCCATATATCAAAGTAGTGCGGTTTTGCAGTACCACCATTTTCAGCGCTTCACTGATTACCGAATTTGATTATTAAAGTGGTTGCACTCAATTACCTAATGCTTTTACAACACCTTCTATTCGCAAATCAAAGTAGGGCGATTTTGTACTTACTTTTTCAGCACTTTACCGATAACTTAAATTTAAAATATGGAATGGTAACATTTCTCTGCGGTGCTTTTAATATTACTTTGATTTGGTTTGTCTTTACACGTCACACATATTTCAAAGGCATTGCTATTAAAACGCTATTTTGTCTAAAGTCGGCCGGAAATAATCCTCTGTTATCTGGGAATATAGTCATCAAAATTCTTTTCACTTGAAATACAATCTCCTCTTTGTGCATTCTCCGAAGAACCTCTTCATTAGTAATGTGGTCTGGTCAACCCATGAAATACGCCGATATACAGCCATATTTCAAAGGCTTCTATTTTTCTACAACACTTTTCACTCACTTAAAAAAGTATCGAATACCCTATTTCAATTGAGTGATCCCACATTCTTCATTATGATGTTTGGTAGTTCCTGACTACTGTTGACTCTTTGAATGGGTTCGTTCACGTTGTGGACCATCAATAAATAGACCAGTCAGGAGTTTATGTATATAGTTTTCTCTCCATTACATTCAGATAGAATCCGTATTTTTCAGAAACCTGCACTATTTTGTTCATTGGTCTTTGAAGCCCATCTATATCAACGGACATAATAACAGTGTCGTCTGCGTATCCTATATTACTAACGCATTCGCCGTTCACAATAAGACCATCACGACTTATTTCAAGAACTTCCTGAAAGATAATTTGGAAGAGGTAGGTATTGATGAACAACAATGGTGATAATACGCTTCTCTGCCGAACTCCTCTTTCAATTAGAACTTGGTCAGATTCGTCATTGTCATTATATATTTTAACTGGTGAAGTTTGATTCCAGTAAAGATTAGCGATGATTCTTAAGTTCTGTTTTTCCAACCCAACAGACTAATACTTACATCTTACATCATTTTGTTGTGCTGAACTTTATCGAAGATAGTCGATGAAACACGCGAAAACATCGAAACATTAATGTCTCGAGCACGTTGAAATAAAACTTGTAGGCTGAATAGTGCTTCTCGAGTTCTCGAGGCATTTCGAAATTCAAATTGGCTGGAACTTATTTGTTCTTCACATGTATTCTCTGCTAGACTATTTTTAGCAAGAGTTCAAGCGCATGACTCATAATATTAATGTTATACAAAATTCTTCACTACTTATTGCACTTGGTTTTTTCGGAAGGGTTACGAAAGTATCTTTCAGCCGTTTAGACTGCCTATAATATATATTTTATTATTAATAGTCCTAAGCCGGGACCTGGGGACTTTACATTTTTGAGGCTTCTTATGGTTCGTCTGACCTCGCCTACAGTTAACGGAAGAAAATTTTCTACATCGTAAGTAGGTGGATCAGTTAGTTGATCGAATATATCTGTTATGTACTTATTCCAAACCTTTATGTTTCCCATACGATCCAAAATAATGTTACCATTTTTATCCTGTATTCTTCCACTCATATTTGCTTTATTTAAGCCCGACATCTTTCTTATCTTCTTACGCATATTGAAAGCATCGTATTTTTTCTTGGGTTCTTCAATTTCTGCGCACTGATGGACAATCCATTTTTCTTTCGCACTTCTTATATTTTGTTTTATTTTCTTTTGCATTTTCCGATACTAATTTTTTGTTGTTTTCAATGCTCTCCTTATTTCTTTTTTCTTGACATTCTTGAATTGAGCTATTTTGACGGTTAATTTATACTTTATTACGTATTTCTTCTTCTTTAAGTTTATTTATATCCCATTTTTTCCTATTTATCGTCTTTTTTTACTCTCTTAAATCTGACCCTTTATTTCGGATTTTAGAAATTGCCTGCCTGATTACTTCACACCCAGCAGGAACAAGGAAAGCACCAATGTCCAGTTATAGATAAATGGTTAGTGCTTCGCTAGTGCTTCAATGTGCTTCAATCCCCAATATAGCAACCTTCGAATTTTCAGACATATTCTGGTTTTCAGAAATCACCTGCTTAGTTTACACATATAGCAGGAACATTGGAAGCACCAACGTTTAGTTGTAGATCGATGGTTAGTGCTTCGTTAGTGCTTCGATGTACTTCGATCCGCAAATTAGCAACCCTTATATTTTCAGAGATATTTCAGTTTTTAGAAATCGCTTGCTCACTTCACACCCACCAGGAACATCGAAAGCACCAACGTTCAGATGAATGGTTAGTGCTTCGTTAGTGCTTCATGATGCACCACCTCAGCTTTTAACGACTCTTATACTTCCCGAGATATTTCGATTTAGATTATCGTAGATTTTTCCAGGGTGAAGTGTGAAGTACCATTTATGCTGAGCAAATGAAAGAATACTTATTCATAAAAAAAATATTTCTATTAATCCCGACGCGGTTCAGTTGTTAAACCATTGTCAAGGGAAAACTAGTAAGTAAAAAACAAAATAGGTCTAAAAATCGTTAAAATTTTCCACAAAACAATAGTATTACTTACATGATATTAACACAAAATGTCTAAAAAGTTGTCAAAATAAACGGCACATAGGTTTCTATGTGCCTATTCTATTTTTTACTTACTAGTTTTCCCTTGACAATGGTTTACCAACTGAAACACGTCGGGATTAATAGAAATAATTTTTTTTGTAAAGTATAAAGGACTCCTTTCTTTTATTTGCTCTGCATATTTCGACTTTTTGCAATCTAGTGCGGATTTCACCCTAAGCAGGGCCGAGAACCGGGAATATGAACAGCATAAACTCTGGTCTGAACTACTTATAAATATTATTAGTAGGTACTAATTGCTTCCTAATGCTTAGGCCGGTTCACTCATCTTTCGATAAACGTACTGGTAACTATCTACAAGACAAATTTGTCAATCGAGAATCATATTGGTCGACGTATAACTGGCCGACCAATACGATTATAGATTGCGTTTTTTATCCGTCAGAGATAATATACCTGATGGTTTATCAGTATGTGAATAAAACGGGCCTTAGTTTCTCTTTTGACCATCCGTTATATTCATCTCACAAATGTTATAAATCAGTACTAGCATGTCTTCACTCTCCTTTCCATCTTCTCACTTTGATGATATACTAATTTTGGAATCCTTTTTTGTGTATCTTTTGGATCGATTCAAATTCCAAGACATATCACGTCACTTTCTGCTCTTTGAAATATTGACATTCAGGAGAAAGGCGTTTATTTAAATTAAAAATAAAAATGTGTAGCTATCAATAAAACAGTCAGTCACGTTGCAGATATTCTGAATACAATTAAGTATAGTAGAGCTGTTTGACAAAGTAGTTTTCTTGAAGATCGTTGTTCTGTAGAGCAGTTCAGCTCCTAACTGATTACTTCTAGTGATTGCTCCATATTTCAAAAATTCCTTAAGGAAGGAAAAAAAAGACGACTCACTTCGAGCAGTAATGAATTGTTGAACGCCGTCGCCATCATCACTCGAATCGCAGCTAGCACTTGAGAAGCATTGAACTAGTGTTTCGATTTTGGATTTAAGCTTTTTTCCATCTATATTCTACGCTTGGGGATTTTGGTGAGAGTTTCCAATGTTTCTGCTATAGTACGCAATTTCTTTAAACCGGAATATCTCCGGAAATTCAAAAGTTTCTAATTTGGCGATTGAAGCACATTAAAGCACTACGAAGCACTAAGCACTAGCCATTTATCTGATAACTGAACGTTGGTGCTTTCCTTATTCCTGCTGGGTGTGAATTAAGCAGGTGATTTCAAAAATCCGAAATATCTCCGAAAATACAAGGGTCGCTAATCTGGGGATTGAGAGGTGAAATCCACGTATATAGTCTTCGTGGTGGTTGTTCAAACATGGTGTTTAGGATAGAAAACTGTTCTTCAACAACGAAGTCCTTCAGCCTTTCTCCACGCTCATTTATTGTTCTCATAATCCAAATTGACCTAATTTGTAACCTTTGCCAATTTTAGCGGTAAAATCGCCCATCTTCGTTCTTGATTTGTTTCATTAATATGCTGTTTTTTTTTTTTCTTATTTCTGGAGTAATAGGCTTTATGGTCCTTCACAATAAATTGTCCACTTCCGGGCCATCTCATCACGCTTATCCCAGGATATCAATGTTCAGTCTATCCATTTCTAGAATTGTATTTCGGATTTTTCCTGTTTGAAACATTGTTCTTGCGTTCCATGTACCTATCATAAAAGTGTGTTTTGCTATCTTTAGTTGATTTTTAGTTTGATTATCGTTTCTCCAGGGTTTCTGCTTAAAATAGCGTCCTGAGAAGCCCTATCCCTTCACCTGCTGGATCTTGGCCTTCGTAAATCGTCCACATTCAAATAAACATATTCCATTATGCTTTGCTACTAGGGATTAATGATCAGGTAGCTTCCCGTTGCTTTCCTGATTCCTTCCAACTATTCTCTGCAGTTCCTCCGCCTTCCAGGGCGATTTCTCGCCCCCAGTACAATAGAGAGTCCGTCCAATATCCCTTGATATTGGTTGATTGCTTATTGTATACTGGCACACATTCGTT